AGTTGCCAGAGAGAGTAAGTAAGTACTTTTAATGTACTCAATTGGTGGTATTAAGTGTCTACAAGAACATGTGATTAGAAATGTAAGAGTAATAGATAGGTATGACTACTATTCTTAATATATTTTCTGTGCATTGAAGTTTCTGTAGCAGGCGAAAACCAACAAACTGGTTGAAGAGGCTGGCAGGCAGGGAAGACAGGACTCCAGGTTAACACTGAGAAGATGGAGTGAGGTGATGAAGATAACCAACCAACGAACAGCAACAACAACCAGCATCAGTCACCATCAATGGGAGACATTCATCAGAGGTTACCTCCTTCACTTATCTGGCTGGGAAGCATCATTTCAACTACAGGCAGTCGGAACCGATGGAGATGTCTCAAAGTCAGGTTCGGAAAGGCAAGATACACCTTCATCAATCTGAAATCAGTTTGGAAATCTTCTACACTCAGCATAAGGAACAAGATTCAGATTCTGTTCAACACAAATGTGAAGTCATTCAGTCAGTTCTTCTATACGGATCAAAAACTTGGCGAGTGTGTAAAGAAAAGGATTTCCAACAGCCTGCTGCAGACTTTCATCAACAGCTACCACCTTCGCTGGCTGGCTTCATACTGAAGATCAAATGGCTAGCCCGAAAGAATAAGCAACATGAAACTCTGGCTGGGAGCGAACCAACAGGCGAGAGCCGATTGCTCAACAAATATATAGGAGAAAATGGAGATGGATTGATCAGGCATACGTTGAGAAGGCCATCAAATGACATCGCGCACGCCAGGCCATCACTGCAGAGGAATGAGAATGGGGAGCGACGAGTAAGTCGTCAGTGTGAGGATGACATGGAGGAGATCGTTTTTTTCAGAGGGGGGGGGAGATGAGATGACTACTATTCATCAGTTGATCAAGTGAGATAATAATCGTCTAGAGAAGACTCTAGAAGGTTTGCATTTCGACAAGGATTTATGTCTAACTATTATACAAACTCGAAAATCAACAGAAGAGAAAAATCGATAGGTCGGCAGTGAAGACAGGATATCAAGTGAACATGGAGAAGGCAGTGGTAGTGAAGATACCCAACAACCACAACAACGACAACATCAAGAACCGAAGACTATCAACGGTAGAAATTTGAAGTAAGTCGCCTATTCTGCTTCTCGAGACAGTATCACATTTCAGCTACAGGCGGATGTCAAAGCCAGTTGGCATCGGAAAAGCGAAATCAGTTTGGGAATCTACTACACTCATCGTAAGGAACAAGTCGGTTAGTGCTTCTATATGGTTCAGAGACTTGTCGTGGATGTCATGGAAAGTAGACTTTTGCCAATAGTTGCCTTTACTTTACTACATAATGAAGGGCAGATAGTTAACGAGAAAGCATTAAGAGCAAGAAACTCTCCCAGACAACAAAGAACTTATTCTCCAACAAACATCTAGAAGAAAATACAGATGGATCGGATATATAATGAGGAGGCCGCCGACTGACAGACAATACATGCCAGCCAGGTGAATCCATTAGGGGAACCCGAATGAGAAACAATGAGTTGAATTTGTTGAAGCGCTATAATCCAGTCGGGACCTAAGGGAATTCTTAGCATATTTAAATCGCAAAACATTTACTCTTCTTGTAGGTTCTTCAAGTAAAGTAGTACTCGACAGCATATCACATCATGTGATGTTGTTCAATCTAAAGCGAAATCCAATCCTCTCCCTACTCTTCATTTCCTTGCAGTAGTGCTCAGCAGTGGAATAGAGGCCAACTCAAGGAGCGTCAGATAAATGTCAATTCGACAATGATCAACGAATATAGCAATGCAACTATGAGGAAGTTGCTTTTATAGAAACTGTATAGATAGATACGTTTAACTGACAGAAGTCAGGAAATAGGAAAACACAGGCTCTTAAACCACTACATCTCGTGTTAAGAGGTATATTATGCTGAGTAATATTGACGTTAGACGTAGAGTCTCAGTTGAAGGAGGGTGAGTTAATCAATAAGGTTGTGAAGCTACACTGACTCAGACAGCTAGGATATATGTGGCGTATATTCAGTCACCACCTTCCCCAAAGAGCGATATCAGCTAATAAAGACTTGGGCTGGTCAATTCAAACCATTTAAGTCGTTGACAGTTGCTTTGATGAATCAGGCACATAGGTAAGTGTAGACTGCCTCGTTGGTTGGAGGAGGGGGGGGGTCCTCAGGATGTTAAGAATCAATGACTTGAGAGTGTTAGTGATGTATATAGGTCAAAATCGTCCTCTTTGCTAATTAAATCCTTCTATTTTTTTCGATATTATTATCCTTTCTTTCTCCCACCTTTACGTCTCCATAGTTCTTTTGAATCTCTTCTTCTTCTTCTCTCTGTTTTGTCTACCTTTCTGTGTCACAGGAAATGGAGCGTCATAGCTTTGAAATTTCCGCAACCCATGTTTTTTTGTTTTATAGCTTGACTCCACACCGTATTTTTGGTACAAGTATGGAATTTTCAGCATGCGATATCGGTAGCCCAAATTTTGCAGACCGACCATTGATATCGGGTGTGGGTTTCAGCGGGGGATCGAACCCCGGACCATATTCATGGTCGGCAAGAGTCCTAATCACTGTACCATCGACGCACTGATTGGGGTTGCTAGCCTTGCACCAAATCCCTGCCTCTTCTCTGACCTTACTACTACTACTGCCTAGGCAAGGTATCTGAGTATGTTGGTCGGGAATCCTACCAGCACGGACCGCTTTCCGTGCGTGCTTGGCGAGCGCGAGCATTCCTAACCCTAAACCAACGACGTAGAAATTTTTTACGGAGTAGGATTGGTAGCCTCACACATTAGCTAGCCCAACCTTCTTCACATTTTTTTTCTCTGGTTTACTGTTAAAGCTTATAGTAGTACAGTGTCTGGAGCCAGTTAGTTGCATAGGCCGTACAACAATTAGGCGTGGTTCTCGTTGGATTTCCGAACATCACTCTGCTTGGTTGGTTAAGTAAAGGACAAACAAAATCTATTCGTAGGGCTATTCTATCTCACTCATCTCGTGGATACAGAACACAAGATTAATGTCAACGAAGCGACTTTCAGAGTCATTTACCGCATACCAACTAATCTCAACTTCGCCTTAAGAGTTCGTTTACTAAATATTGCTGAGGCTGGCTGTTGGGATCTACATTAAGAAGCCTAATTTATGCGTCCAAAAGAAGCTGGTTGGTTCAGACATTGTCCTTACCCCGTTGGCCATCTAGGTTTGAATGATCCTAACTTTGTTGTAGAAATTTCCTCAATTTTATTTGATATTCTATTTGCTATTACATTTTTATGCTTATTATAATTTATGCATCTTTAATGAACTGTAATTCCATTGTGATCTTACTTAGCGAATCAATATAATATATAATATAATTGTAAAGCCAGATGAGGAATTTATCGAAAGGTGGATATTCTTCTTTGCTCAATTATTTTGTGTTTTATAGACGAATTTACGAGTGTTTCAGCCAGGAAACGTGCTGACTCGGACCACTTTCAGCGTCTCATGACTGTTCACCTTGATAGACGGAGTGTCGTCCACTTTATAGTAGTAGTAGTGGTAGTACAATGAGAACAAAAGAGCGTAATAACCGAATAAAATTATTTAATAGTAGTAGTATTTATATATATATATATATATGTATGTATACATCTGTGTTATATAGTCTGCGTAAATGAAAAGAAGTATACGATATAAATAATATGTAGGCATGACCGCATATATGCGTATGTGTATGTGTTTATACGTGTATATATGTACCACGTGCGTATGCGTGTATGTATGTCAATGAATGATAGCAGATACAATAGATAGACTAATCGATAGGTGGATAGACGAACACGCTCACAGACACACACACACGCACATAGGATGGAAAGACAGACTTAGACAAATAAAGATTGAAGGTAGTTAGTTAGAGGCAATAGACTAGCGCATACGTGGGTACCACCCACGCACACACGCAAAGAATAATAGATTTCTAGGGGAGGAAGACAAAATGATGAATGTGTACAGACAGACACACACACAACTTGATAAAAACGCCCACACAATCTCTGCATTATCAGATAGTAGGAATTTTGAATTGAAAGAACAGAGAGGAAAAGTAACAACTAAACGATAAAACAAAAACAACAGAAGTGATTGTCGAGACCTACCTAAAAATGAGGAAACTCGTTCTGACAGTCTTTGTTGTTGTTGTTGTTGAGGTGTATATATAATATGCAACTAATTAACTGACAAACAGACGAACAGCATGAGGAGATAGGCAGCTTCGGGGGGGTGACAGTGAAAAGTCATAACAATGAATGATGAATAGGGAATTGAAAAGAAATGTGTGACAAAAACACTTTATCGTCCTCCTAGTCACTGGATAATAATAATAATAATAGTAATTATTATTGATCTAAGACTAATCATTACAATAGTAATAATAGTAATGGCATTTATACGTATCTATATATACTACTCTTGTGATATTTTATTAGTAGTATGACGATGCGAATGAAGTAGTTCGTTATTTTTGGGAAAAGTGTATCATATTAATAAGTGTATGGAGCATATACAAGGCAGGCAGGCGTCCAGTGTGGGTAGGGACAGACAGTTATACGAACATGCACATCTAACCTCCCACCCCACACACACAAATCGTACGAGGAAGAACTGAAGAAGGAGACAAAATCAATCAATCAGTCAGACAGACAGTTCATCAATCAATATAAAATAAGACAGGAATGCCATTTTTGTGGTTAAATTCCTTCCTATACGAGTGTAAAGAGTGGAGAGGAAAAGCAGTAGTCAACAGAGATGATACATTCACCAACACACACACACACACAAAGACGAACCGAAGGAAACAGGATACACGACACAGTGAGCTTTGGTTTTGCTGTTTTTATCATTGTAAAGGTAAAAAAAAAATTTTGAATCAGTAAATGAGGTTGGGATGATTATTTTTCTATTTCTATTTATCTGTCTAACTGTCTCATAGAAAAGGATTATTATTGGTTGAACGACCATTAGGAATTGCTCCACCACCATTCATCATGAGTTGCATATTAGGAGCAGTAGTGGCAGCACTAGTGAATTGGTTTTGATTTGTGAATAGGAGAGAATGTTGTTGAGGCTGTAAAAACAAGGACAAAATGCCGGAAAAACAATGCGGTTAATTAATAATAATAATAATAAGGAATCTCCACAAAAAAATCGATAATGTAAAAACTTTTTTTAAAACAGTTAGTTCCCTTTATGAATTTAGATATAATCACAAACATTTTAGTTTTGATTGCATTTCATACTGTTATTATTATTTTATGCATTTACACCTATGATTGAATTTCCTCACAGGATATAACTTCTTAAAAACCATATATATACGATTGTACAGCTTGATGACAAATTCGTTGAAAAGAGTCTCTTCGCTGAATCATTTGTTTTTGAATTTACATAAAGCAATAAGAAGAAAGTTGACACAAACTCTGGTTGATATAATAATTTATCCAGACAAGTTCATCAGGAGATATCAATTAGTCAGTGGAACACCAAGACCCACTCTACAACTCGCTGCTAAGAAAGACGAGTACATCAAGCTACCCTATATGGGCGGGGCATCATAGCAGCTTGATAACTAGACAAAGACTGAACACTGTGGATAAAAAAGACTTTTTATACAGCTAAGATCATAATAATTGAGAATGTGAAGCCGATATATCTATCCATCTAAGCCCTTTGAACATGCGAAAAGTGATGTCACATCCCACTGTGTTTACCAATTTGAATGTACATGTGGACACACATACACATACATAGGGAGGACTCATCGATCTCTACAAGTAAGGCATATTCCTAAATGGCTCCAGAAACAAATGGAATCTTCAGAACCTATTAATAGTGAGAACAGGAGACCTGGCTCTTCTATTGCCAAACATATTATAGAGACAGGACATAAAATTGACATTAACAGATCTTTTAAACCTATCTATAAAACTTGTTTGGGGCGTATCGTAAAGTTTGCGGAAGCCCTAGCAATTAGAAGGTTTAAACCACCTTTATGCGTTCAAAAACAATTCGTCATCACACTAAACAACCACCTTCCTTGGTAAATCTTGTTTTGATACCATACCAGTGGGGGTAGATGTACTATTACCTCTGTTATTTGGTTTAGTGGTCTCAATTGTTACTTTGACCTTGAATATGTCCTTTTAACTTGACCTAAGTCTATTTTCTCACCTCCTAACTCTTTATGAATTTCATATATACATATTGCTATGACAAGTACGTGGAGTGTGATCAGATTGTTCGAAATGTGTTGCTCAAATACACAATACACGATTGAGACAGACAAATTACGTCTTCTTATTGCTTTATCTAAATGTAAGTACTACTACTACTACTACTGGTTATCGGAGGGATATCCTAAAGTTATCACTGAGAGTGTGCCGTGACCAGTGGACTCCACAGTGTCAAGTTGGTTAAACAGTCAACCACCACCAGCTGGATCTTGTTTCGATCTCTGGCTGGTGATGGTGAGGGTCGTGAGTATACCACACACACACACACACACTGATGAAGAGTCCCAAACTAGGACGAAACAACAGTTAGCTATTCAATGCTTCTTGGTTTTCAACAATCTCTTTAACCGATGTTGTTGGTTTGTGATGAAATCTTCAGTGAAAAGAGGATTAAATCAAAATCCACAATCGTACAAATTCCTTTACAATTTGCAGTATTTACACACACACAGTTCGAGGTGATGACACACTTCTCACACTACAATTTTATTTGGGGAAATGAAAATTTTTCAGATCATGTATAAATATGTGATCTGCTTGGCATGATAAATGTGAACGGTGATCAAGAAGGGAACCGAAGGTGCTCCTACTTAGTTAGACACCATACACTCGCACCACAACCGGTAGTACTTACTAGCTAAGCTAGCCAGTCATTGGACGGTTGATTTCGTGCTCGGTTTGGGCAGAGTTCATCAGCGATGCAGCCGATTTGAGTTGGCTCAGAGAGCTGAATCACTTTACACCACACTCCAATTCAAAATCGACCAAACCGCTGATAAGGTCACTTTACGGAGCTCACCCTAACGGTTCTTTTTTTTGTAGACCACTTGTGGAATCTAGAAAGTGCTTTCAGTAGTATGTATGCACTCCTCATTAGGATTCTCATGGTAACCATCAGAATATGCAGATGATATAGTCCTCACTGTTCAGTGAAGACGCTGACGAAATCCAGCAGAATCTTTTGAACACCTTGAACAGCAGCAATCTTCGAATATTTGGCATGCGATTCGCTCCTGCTGTCAAATGTAAGATGATGCTATAGGACCGGACCATATCGACTGCTAGCTTAGAGATGCGGAGTGAAGTGGTCGACCGCGTTGACCACTGAATCACTGAAAAAATCTCACCACAGATATAGAAGGCTCGTTTGGCATATGACCGCCAACTTACGCTACCTCTGGCTTAGTAGACGTGATATCCACCTAGCTGGCTGGCTGGCTATCGACCAAAGGGCGTGTGTACTGCTCAGCTGTCAATTCGCTCTGTCCTCCTTTATGGCTGCTACTGAGACATGACCATTGAAACAAGGAAGATACGAAAAGGCCGGCTAGCTGTGTTTGATCATAGGTGCCTGCCTTCTATCTCCCGTGTTAGGTAGTGGTATAGTAAGGTGAGCAATATTGAGGTTAGGCGGCGGTCGAGTGCTAGGTAGGTGGGAGGCGAAATCAATCGACGAGGCTGTGAAGTTACACCGATTGAGAGAGATGGTTAGGACATGCGTTACGCAGGCCTGTCTAGCCATCGATCGCCTTCCTCGACGGACAAGGTTAGCCGACTGACATAGGATGGATCAGGTTGAAAAACAGATAGTAGTCGTGGTGGTGGTCAAACGAAAACATGGCTTCATCGGTCAATGAAATCCATAACAGTTAGTTTAAGCCAGCCAGCCAGCCGGTTAAGTAGGGAGGTGTAGACTAGCTTTCTGACTGATTGTTGTCTTCGGGATGGTAGGAATCGATGAAGACTGGAGACGATCGGTGATATGGCTCAAAATCGTTCTATGTGATGGCTAGCGCAGATGCCCAATAAAAAAATATTGTTCTTCCATACTACTATTCTTTTTGCTTCACACGTTTGTTTATTATCTCTCTTCTCTTGCTTTGTGTGTGCTACATGGAGGGAGAGTGTGACAACTCAAACTGCTGCACAACTGTGCAAAGTTCTCTACGTTGAAATCAGTCAGTCATGGTACCCTCCTAACCATAGTTTTCCTCACCGTTTCAAAATATCAAAGGAACACTCAAAGCGATGTCTGAATTTCACAGCTATCCATGGCTGAACAAAATAACATCCAGAATGGACTGAAAGGCTACAGAGTGAGTGAGGTGTCCGTTTGGGAAACGCAACACCTGTGTGTGTATGTGTCGATCAGTTTTTATCTAACAGATCTATCATCAATATAAAAGCTCACCTCGTAACCCGGGTGCCTACTGATGAAGAGTCTCAAATTAGGACGAAATAGCTGTCCGGTACACTCCCATTTTTTATTTTTCAATGATTCCTTCTCTCTTACTGATTTCAGTTCGTGATCTGACTTCAAGTGAATATAAATAGGAAATTAAGATAGTTAACAGATAAGAGGCTGTCGGCAGTTCAGTCGTAGGTATCCTCATCAACTAACCACACCTCGGGAGTGATCCGGTTTCTATTTCCAACCAATTCACTCATAAATCTTGCAACCAGCCTGGTTTCTTTATTCCTTTACGTTCCCAGTGGAAAATAGTGAGAGCTTCAAGCTAGAGACTTGAAGTTTCGGTAGCACACTGGTATTTTTTTTAAAGACTTTTACGGGATAGGATTACTAGTCGCATACCCAATCTTCCCTCTTCACCAGTCTCATTACTGACTTAGCGAGGTAAACGAGTGTGCGTCGGTGGGCGGGGATCGAACCTCGAACCACATGAGGTGTGGTTAGCGAGCATGCAACCGCTGTGCCACCGACGCAAGTAAGCCTGGTATAGAGATGGAAATTTGGGCTAGCGTCAGGCTAACAACCCCATCACCCCGTAAAAAGTGCAAAACTTGAAGCCCTATATGCTCATACACACAACGCAAAACAATGGGAGAAACATACAAACAAACACATAAAACAAACAATAACTTTGCATAGTTTTGGTTTGTAAGGGTTAGTTTTGTTTTTAACGAGTTGATCACGGATTGATATCAGTTAGAGAACCATTGAAAACCAGCCACAGTGGGTACTGGACAGCTGTTCCATCCGCCTAGTTTGGGAATCATCGGCAGTACGCACCCACCTCCCGGGGGGTTCGAGCTCAGGACCTCCCGGTTACAAGGCTAACGAGCTCGTATACCATTCAGCCACTGGGATCCGATTCAATGGCCAGCCCATGAATTCTAACTTCTACCAATTGGTGATGCATTTAGCGTGACCGGCACCAACCAGTGTCATCGGTGGGACATTCATCCTCACATGTGACATCTGAATGAACCTCATGAGCCATTGAGGAATAGAATCCCAGTGGCTGAATGGTATACGAACCAGCTTGCCTTCCTTGTAACCAGAAGGTCCTGGGTTCGAACGCCCCGTAGTGTGGGTGCATACTCTGCCGATGATTCCCAAACTAGGCTGATGAAACAGCTGGCTGTCCAGTACTCCCTGTGGCTGGCTTTCAACAGTTCTCTAACAAAAACAATAACAAAAAATACTCAACAACAACACCAGTCAAACTAACCAATGATTGAGGGACAATTGCTGTCGCCCATGGATTATTAGCATTCAGTACAAAATTGTTGCTAAACCCTGCTGTACCACCAGTGGTCAAAGAGGTTTGTGAGTTACTGAAGCCACCGACGCCGCCGCTTCCACTGCCACTGCCACCAATAAATGAGCTACTGCTTATCTGATTCATTGACGGGGATGGATGAATTGGCGTTGGTGTTGGCGTTGATAACTGTTGACTACTGGACATAGTGGTGTTATTCGCATTATTACTGCTGCTATTGTTGCTGTTGTTTGACGTTTGAACATATGGCATTGTACCAGACCAGTTGACTGCGGATAGACTCCCATCTGGAGCACGATATATACGACAGCCTTGACTAGCTGCATAACTATCACGGATCGAAAGGTTTCCAGCGATTTGAGCAATTTTATCATCTAATGACAAGGTGGATTGTGACGGTTGGACAGTATTTGCTGAATGGAAATTAGGAGAAAGAAAAATTAAAAGAACATATGAGAATAAAATAAGTCATGCATTGATCAGATCACCATATTACGGATCATCATTGAACAAAGCTTGGAATGGCAGTCACCTCTCTATCTCAACTTCATCGACTTTGAAAAGGTCTTCGATAGCGTCAATCGAGAGGTGCTTTGGCAACTACTTCGCTACTACGGTGTGCCACCGACAATTATCCATCTCATCCAACAGCTGTACGACAACGCTGCATGCCAAGTAATCCACAACGGGAAACTTACGGAATCCTTCGAAGTAGAGACGGGAGTAAGACAAGGCTGCTTACTATCGCCAATGATTTTCCTGATTGCAGTAGACTGGATAGTGCGACAAACAGCGGCGGGCAATGAGGAAACAGGCATAAAATGGACTCACACAAAAAACTTGAAGGATCTGGATTTCGCCGATGATACAAGTCTGATTTCCCACAAATTGGAAGATATGCAAGCGAAAAGCAACAAGTTGGCAGAAGAAGCATTAAAGATAGGACTTCAGGTGAACATAAAGAAAACAGAGGTGATGAAGATTCCTGGCCAACACCACCAACAGCAACAACTACAACAGACAACTATCAGCATAAATGGGACGAACCTGAAAGAAACAACCTCTTTTACCTACCTGGGAAGCATCGTTTCAACTACAGGCGGACGGAACTGACGAGGATATCAAAGCAAGAATCGGAAAAGCAAGACAAGCTTTCACTACTCTCAAGTCTGTGTGGAGGTCAACAACACTCAGCATCAAAAATAAGATCCGGATTTTCAACTCCAATGTGAAGTCAGTGCTACTATACGGATCAGAGACTTGCACTGCGCGTCATAAAGAGCATCTCAAACAAACTACAGACCTTCATCAACAGCTAGCTGTCTTCGCTCAATACTCAAGATCAGATGGCCGGCCATAAAAGATCAGCAACAGGGATCTCTGGCAATGAACGAACCAACCAGGAACCGATTGTGAAACAAATAGGCAGGAAGAAATGGAGATGGATTGGCTAGCCATACTCTGAGGAAACCATCAAGTGACATCACTAGACAAGCACTTGAGTGGAACCCGGCCGAAAGGGAAGCGGCGAATTAGTTGATCGTCAGTGCAAGGGTGACTTTGAGGAGGTCATGTGAAGAGGAGATGAAAACGTGTGGGCAGACTTGGAGCCAGGTGAAGACTCTAGCAGAGAACCGAACGCAATGGAGACGCACGGCTGAAGCCCTATGTTCCTCTAGGAATTAAAGGATACAATAATAAATATAATAATAATGAGAATAACATCCAATGAATGGGATAAATAATGATCAAGTGTTGGTTCACCGTGGTGGTGACTTTTTGGTGTGTTTCATGTTAGGCTCCATAATCAAATGACGTCACCAAGAATCAGGCAGCAATGAACAGCTGTGTCATGCTAGTCTGGGACTAACCTAATCAGCAATAATGATAGCAGCAGCACCATCAAGAAGCACCAATCACTATCAAGAGGAGAATTATGAAGGAAGTCATCTCTCCCACTTATCTGGTTAGGCGGCAGTGCCATTCCAGTTACAGACAGTCAGAGCCGATGAATAAGTCTAAATCAGCGCGGATTAGACACTTATTAGTATAAACAGAAAGATTCATATGTTCAACGCTAATATAGTGATAGTCATACTTTTTATAATGTTTAGAGACTCGGCGCTTCACCGAAAGGATTTCCAACAGTATGCTACAGACTTTCATCAACAGCTGATTCCACTGTTTCCATACTGAAGATCAGATGGCCAGATAGGGAGGATAAGGAACAAGGAAAAACTCTGGCAGTCAACGAACCAACCAACCAACACTAATGGCCTGTTGGCTAGAAATTACACGAAAGAAAATGGACTTAGACTGTTGATACACTGAAGAGATAGTTGAAAGATATCATTCGATAGGCTGTCGAGTGGAAGCTGAATGTGAATTGACTAGTTGGGTGTGTGCTCGAGGATGACACAGAAAAGGTCGTCGTGGAGCCAGTAGATGTGTTGTTGAAGTTCTATGTTCCACTTGGAACCTAAAGGAATTCTACCAGTAGTTACATGCTTATGACCCTTTCGGGAATCGATCCGGTTAGCCATTGAGTGTCACAGTTTAGCTGGTTGACTGTCGTATTAGTAATTAGGAGACCACTGTGTCAAATTCCTATCTAAAGCCCCATGAGTGAGGTCACCAGTGGAATGATCAAGGGTGCGTACTACTGTAGAAGGACCCAAACTGAGGCGAAATAGCTTTCCGTTAATTGCTGATATTCAATAGTTCCCTAACTGATGTTGTGGTGAGAGCTGGCTGCTAGCCAAAATCGGTAGACAGTAATTTATGTCAATTTTTACGTCCCTAATATTGGTCGTGAGAAAATAAGAACAAAGACTGCTGACTCAGCAACCAATCACAGCAGACTTTGCGTAGGCGGATACAATTTGCAGATAGATAATCTGAACTTCAACACAAAGCCATAAAGAGATGAAAGATTAACGTTTAGCGAGAATCCACCAATCAGAAGACTGTGTTTGTTTGCTTAAAATAATCTATAATTATGTACATGAAAATCTATAAATATCTGTTGATTTCCTAAATAAACGATCTGTTGCCTTCCCCTTCTCCTCTGTTGTTACAATGTCAATTCATGATGTAACTTGGAAATAGTAGAAATAACAACTAAAAATCTGCTGAACGAATGTTAAAAATCTGGTGAAGTAGTTTAGGAACTACTTCAATAATATGCAGTTCAGCGCCCCAAATCTTCCATCAACCTCATTCAACAGTACCAATACCAAATGCCAAATGATCGACAGCGGAGAACTCAGGGAAGCCTTTGAAATGAAGACAGGAATAAAACAAGGCTGCCTGCTGCTTATTATCACCTGTGATATTCCTAATTGTGGTAGGCTGGATTATACGGAAGACAGAAACTCGAATCATCTCGCCTACTAGCGATCTACTACCAGTCACCATCTATTCCACAACTATTACTTGGGCATTTTGGTTATCACATATAGAGATCCTCGTATTCTCCTATCCTAATAAACTGGGATAATCAACTGTCAAGACTAGCTAATACGTCTAATTGAAAGAGTAATTGCTTGTGATGTCTCCTTGACGTAATACTTCAACTTGCTCTGTAGTTTAATTTTCGCAATAATCTGAACTTAAAGTATAGTTTAACCGCATGACGCCACATACAACTGATTCACATGAGTAGATGAGCACCGCTCACATCCACCACTAGCTAGGCCGTACTGATCTTAACACTAGGCAGTAGTTTCGCTCTTGTTTTGGGGGCAGTGTATCCAGTTTGAAGCAGTTCGAATGAGTTTAACTACTTATAACAATTATTCAGTAGTATATAAAAATAAACTGAAAAGTAATTTGGAAATAACTCCACAACTATGTGAAGTGCACTGGCCCCAAAATCTTTATCAACCTCATTCAACAACAGTTGGCTAATATGACAATACCACATGTCAAGTGGTCGACAACGGAAAACTCAAAGAAGCCTTTGAGGTGAGTAAGACAGGACTGCCTGTCTACCATCACCGATGATATTCTCTGAGTTGTGGTGGACTGAATTATGCGGAAGACAGAGCGTAAGGACAGAGAAGACAGGAATGCGTTGGGCCAACAATAAGAAGACTCAAGTAGATGTGGACTTTGCGGACGACTCATGCCCAATTTCACGTGAATTCGAAGAGTTACAGGAGGAAACCAACAAGTTGGCAGAAGAAACAGTACAGACAGGACTTCAAGTGAACACACACAAAGAAGACAGAGGTGATGAAGATAGATACCCGCTTGCCAACAACAACAAGTACCAATCACAATCAACGGGAGAAATTTGAAGCAGGTTACGTATCTCAGACAGCATCGTTTCAACTACGAGCAGTCCGACAGCACGTATAAGGATGTCAAATGCAGCCAGGATCAAAAAGGCAAAGCAGACCTTTATTACTTTGAAAATCAATTCAGAAGTCTTCTGCACTCCACAGCATAAAGGACAGTTCTTCTACATGGGTCAGAAGCTTGGTGTGTCACGAAAAGTACTTCCAACAGGCTACACTGCAGACCTTTATCAACAGTCCTGACCAATATCTGCTACATTGACGGGGTGTTCGGGCTTGCACATCGCAATGACCCTACAAGCTACACTGGCTGGAACCAATGTTCCTACAGGTCGTACCATGCCAAGAAGATTGTTAGGATAGCGATCAGACTAAAAGCAGTTACCAGCATAGTGTAAGGATTTTTTTACACTATGCTAGGGATCTGTGAGCGAAGTCGTACTGCTGGGGAACAGAGGTGAAACAGCAGTGAGGTCTTTCCCTCAGATGACCAGCATACCAGCTATGCTGTTTCTCCACTCTGGAGAGGGGGGGGGTAGAAAAGGTCGACCCCGTAAATTGTACATCTCGACTTACCCAACCTACGGTGGTCCGTAACCGGCAGTAAGTTTACTAATACGGAACCAAACCAAGAAACCAGTTCATTCAGGCCGTGTGTGACGGACTGGCCTCAAGCAGTTGTCCCCTGGGATCTGCGGTCACGCAACACTAACCCTCTTTCTGTTTCAGGTACTCGAAGAATCAATCAACTTCCACGGTGTAGGCAGCCGGGAAGTAACAACCGCCCACACTTCCAAAAGCACACGAAACCTTCTTGAGCATCATTCTCCTCTACCCACATTCTCTTTATCAACAGTTGCCTCTTTTCCTGGCTGCTTCCATACTGAACACCATATATATGGTCAACCAAAAAGAATTAACAACACAAAACTCTTGGAAAGAACAAAAAATGGGAATGTATCGTACATAATAAGGTGAGGAGACGCTAGGATGACATCGTGCAACCAGGTAAACCGTCGAGTGGAACCTTAAATGGGAAACAGTGAGTTGGGCGTGTCACTCTCAGAGAATGACATGGAGGAGATCAGAGCTTATGGGCACAATCGTGGAGC